TAGCTGCTTCACGGTCGCCCATTTTGGTTGAGTACGTGGAGAGATAACACGTGTTTTGTGTGGGAGTGCTGAGATTTGTGAGTGATCAACATCCCCGGGTGATCAACATCCCGGTCAGCTAGCTTAAATCGCCAACCGTTCGCGTATGCCAAGCCCCGCTAGTCATGAACATTGGAAGGCACGAGAGGTCTTGCATGCTTGAACCATCTGCTACTCAACTCTGGTCTATCACCTATACTCCGGTGCGCTCGTTTGCAACACGAAGAGTTTTCTGTCCAAGGCTGGTCTTATTGGGAGACAAGCCCTTAGGATAAAGACATCCGTCCACATGAACAGACAAGCTAGGTAGTGTTTACGCAGCTTCGATATTCAGACCAACGCATACACCATACAGACATGACTGATGTTCTGTAGTCATCAAGCGCATATCTTAATTAGCCTTGTTCGGGTAGGTGAGAGTCTCATTCTTCCATTGTTCGGTACCCATCGTTGTGCAATCGAGAGAGTCGGGCTATAGGAATGGGCGAGTCGGGTTATAGGAATGGGCGAATCGGAGCCGAGCTACGCCGCAACATAGCTACATTAAGGGCCATCCTTGGTCTCTACACACACTCTCTTCTTCGTCTTCACTCAATGGTAGTTCCGTCTCCCATGCAATAATCGAGTTCCAGCATCTCTTTCTTCAACAATACTGTTCAGTCAAGTCCAGCGGTAAATCACGTACAATCGATTCTTCTGTCCACGATGGCTGCTGCTATGTTCAGGATTTTCAAGAACAAATGGATCACACCACCAAAAGAAGTCCACGAAGACTATACCGGAAGGAACGTTATTGTCACAGGTGCGAGTTCCGGGATCGGTGTAGAGGCGGTCTTCAAGTTTGCAAAACTGGGTGCCGCCAAAGTTATCATCGCAGTACGGGATTTGAAGAGAGGCGAACTGGCAAAGTCTGCTTTGGAGGCTCGCCTAGGATGTCGTGATCAGCTGGAAGTCTGGGAATTAGACATGATGTCCTATGACAGCGTAGAGGCCTTCGCAAACCGCGCAAATGAGCTTGACCATCTGGACATAGCAGTGTTGAATGCCGGCACTCGACGTGTCAAGTTCATACAGTCAAAACATGGATGGGAGGAAGATATACAAGTCAACACACTGTCTACGACCCTATTGGCCATTTTGCTTCTACCAAAACTCAAAGAATCGAAACAACACACTGGTAAAATTCCAATTCTTGAATTTGTCAACTCTGGCCAGCACCAGAACGCCGTTGTCGCGCCCGAAGTTCGTCAAAAGCCCAGCGTACTTGACCATTACAACAAGAAAGAAAACCACAAGGAGGGAAGCCAGTACAGCTTCTCCAAAGTCTTCCTCATGTACGCGACAAAGAAGCTTGCCGACGAAATATCGTCAGGCGATGTCATCATTACCAGCGTCTGCCCTGGTTGGGTCAATACCGACCTAGGCCGCGATCATTTCTTCCCTGGTGTACACATATTGGCTTTCTTCTTCATCTTTTTGTTCATGAGAACATCTGCTGTTGCAGCAAATATGGTGTTAAGTGGGACGACACAGGGTGAAGGTTTGCACGGAAGGTTTTGGCAACACGATAAGATTCAGCCGAACGGACCGAGCTTGACAGGGCCAGAGATGAAGGAGCTGAGTGCGAGAATGTGGGTTGAGATTTTGGATGCATTGGACAAGGATGTGGCAGGTGTGAACAAGGCAGTCGACGCGGCGCTATCGAAGCAGCGAAAGTTAGTGTAGCCAGAGTGGAGAGTGAAGACGAACAAGAATGTGGAGAAACCTGATAGGCAACGATACTGTGCAATGGTGGTAAACTGCCAAACAAGATGCCGTCCGTGCCAGACCCCAGCTGTGGCTGCGTGGCTAAGCACGCGGGCTGGCGCATGCACCTCGACATGACGTATCGCAGCCGAATTGGAGCATCACCAGTGCCTAGAACATCCGTCTCGTGTCCCCAAAGCCTGCACATATCAATCCTTCCGTAAAGCGAGACAGCTGCAGCCGCTGAGTCGGCTGAATGCCCAAATCGCCCTTTCGCCGCAAGCCCGCCGCCCACGCTCCCTCGTCCCTCTTCCGCTACCTGTTCCCCAGGAGTCGAGCACGCGCCCGCCTTCACCTTTCCAAACTCCGCCACGAGACATTTCCGTCGCTCAAGCAGAACGCCAAGTCGCGCATATACAAATACATCGTCTATCGCCAGGCTGTCAAGGCGCGAGGAAAACAGACCATCTTCCAGCGCCTACGGGGCTACACACGGAGGTTGAGTGGCCGCAGCTACCTGGAAGATGCCGCAAGGTTGCGACGACAACAGATAGCCAAGCGTCCTGGAAACACAGAATCGGGCAGTCGAGCAATGACGTACCAAGAGAGCTACGAGGCGCGGGAGCCTGGCACACGGAGACGCAAGCTGGCGGGCTACCTGAAGGCTGCAAATGAACTCCGACAGACATATACGCAACAGTATGCGTCCAACTGGAGTACCAAGGAAGCACAATACGACTACGAAGACGACACGCCGGGCGGCTTTCCAGATGCAGCCGTCGTCAGAAGCGGCCGCGAGGAGATGATACTCTTTCCTAGCTATGCTAGGAGGCACATAAAGAGGAAGCCAGAAGCACAACCAGGCACTATACAAGAGACTGAGGGTGAAGGACGCGACGTTCGAGACTCAACCGGCGCCGGTGACGCCGAATTTTGGAAGCAGCAATGGAACAACTACGAGGACGACAATGCAGTAGTTGACGTTGATGTTCGTGGCTGGATATACTCACCGCACAGGGGGCAGATGTCGCGGAAGCAGAGGCTGTTCATTGGACTTGCACGCCAGCTTGTTGGCGTACAGGCGCCTGCTACGCCCTCCACTTCGTCTGGAGATAATAGCCGGGATACAAGCCCGCAACGGCATGGCTTTCGCGAACGGGCCCACTTGCGCGACGCTCAGCAGGACGAGGCCATTGCGGCCAAGGAAGCTGAGGAAATTCTACGCCGTGGCGAGAGAGAGGCAAGGGCGGCGGCACGCGGTGCTTACAGTGAGAAGCCTGCTAAAGACATGGACGATACACAATTATATCGAACAGAGACCGGGAGCAGCACGCGTCCCAACAATGGCAGGACCCATCAACTCGCCCATAGCACATCCAAAGATTCGATGAGAAGTGAGGCCAGCATCAAACCGTTGCAGAAACGAGGGTCATGGAACCAGCCGTCTGAAATGAGCCCGTCTGAACTCGCCGAGGCCAACGCCAGGCTGATGGCTCGCCTGCGACACTTTCTTGCAATACCAATGGCCAACACACCCATCAGTGTCTTCTTCTACAACGAGAATATATCCAAACAGAGGACTGTGTACACCGATGCTGCAGGACATTTCAGTATGAGCGCGGCTTTGGATTTTGTGCCCACCCACGTTCGCATCTTAGCATCAGACAAGCTCTCGGCAACAGAAGAAGTAATCGTTACTGCCTCGCAGGGAATCAGTGTCATCAGTGACATCGACGACACAATAAAGCACTCCGCTATTGGTAGCGGCGCCCGCGAGATCTTTCGTAATGTTTTCATCCGCGATCTTGTCGATCTCACTATCGATGGTGTCAGAGAGTGGTACAACAGAATGGCGGAGCTGGGGGTCAAATTCCACTACGTCTCCAACTCGCCCTGGCAGCTGTACCCTGTCATCTCAAAATACTTCGAGTTAGCTGGATTACCCCCCGGCTCGTTCCATTTGAAACAATACAGCGGCATGCTTCAGGGAATATTCGAGCCCGTGGCTGAGAGAAAGAAGGTTACTTTGGACAAGATCGCAAGAGATTTTCCAGAGCGAAATTTCATATTAATCGGAGATAGTGGTGAGGCTGATCTGGAAGTTTATACCGACTTCGTACTAGAGAACCCAGGGCGAGTCGTTGCCGTCTTCATTCGCGATGTCACCACAACAGATAGTCCAGGCTTCTTCGACCCTTCTACTGGATTTTCACCAGGTGATCACTCTTCGTCATCGACCCAGCGTACCAGTGGAGGGAGCTCGGCTGCTTCTACTAAGGCTCGACCGCCGTCTGAAGAAACCGATCCTGAACTGAGAGCTGCTATTGCAGCATCATTACGTGACATGGATGCGGACAATAGCAAGCGTTCTAAGTCAACATTTCCGCAGACCAACAATGAGCAACAGCCGAAGTTGCCTGCAAGGAAGCCCTCTTCGCAAAGTATATCACCGAGAGATTCTCCGGCCAATTTAATAGACCTATCATCCGACGATGAAGTAGACGATTCGTCTGCCCTTAGGAAATTCAACAGCGAAACTCAGGCTGACAACGAAAGACACCGTTCGTCAGCCGGATCGAATGTGAGTACGAAGTTTGCGCCTGCGCCTCCCAAGAAGCCAGTCGCATTACGAAGCCCATCGAGCGAATCTACGTCTTTCAATACCCTGTCCTCCTCCAACCCACGACCACAGCCACCAAAACCTCGAAAGACCTCGACAGCAGTCGGTCAATCCAGCCCACTAGCACAGCAAGATCATGCCACAAAGAGCGCAAACACTTCAGCACCTTTTAGACCTCCGGTGGGCCCCAAGCCGTCCGTAAGCTTCCAGAGCCAAGCATCACAAGATCAGCAGTCGTACGCTGGCATGGCTCGGGATAAGCTGTGGTCCGTCTACAGTAATTTGCCTGCGTTGCGATCAACGGAAGAGCCTGGCTCCAATGCGTCCAGTCTAGATGTCACTGGTGTTCGTAAAGGCCCGCCTCCACCTCCACCTCGTCGTGGTAATCGCGATACAGCTTCAAGCGCAGCATCTTACGTGAGCTCCAAAGCATCGTCAGCATGGCAACACGCTCCCTCAATGCCATATCACACTCGTCCACAGGTCACGTCTGCGCAAACATCTCAGCCTTTCTCTACTGCTGTGCCGCGACAAGGTATCAATCGCACCAGTACCGGTAGTACGCTGAGTGGTGCTGCAGGCGAGCAGTACGGCACGAAGAAGGAGCAGCTTTGGCGCCAGAGATGGGCGCACGCGGAACAAGTCCTCGGCGAGCAGGGTGTAATACTTCGAGGATGGAGGGTTGGAAGCGACATTATGGGTGAGGCAGAGAGTATAGTCAAAGATGCAGAGAAGAAATTCAAGCGAGATGAGCGACGAAGTGAAGGTAGCAATGGGAAAGCAAGCGAACGTAGATAGAACACGGCAGTGCTTGAGTCGGCTTGATGGTTGCCATATTAGCGGGGGTGTTAAAGAGAGTACACATAAACACGATATTATTCTTCGCCTGCATCAAAACCTCCGATATGTGGAACCACATAGCTCTGCGATTTTCGTGGCGCCGTAATCTCCTGCTAGAGCTGAGATTAAACTTCCCTTCTCGCCAAGCATTCGATAGCGTCGCGGAAACCGGAATGGATGGTACACGGTGGCGCACGTGCAGGTGAAAGCCAATTCAGGAGTCGTGATGTCATTCCTTCTACCGGTATCAAAACAAAGCTACCAAGCGCACCTGGGCAGGTACATAGTTGAGAACGCGACCGCGACGCGACGATTACCTGCATACGAATTGAACTTTCACCTCTGCTACCTAAACCAAATCGACAGGTTTATCACAATAACAAATCCGGCAAAATGTATGTAGGCGTAGTTTTCTTCTCGTGTCGTGGCCGCGATTGCTATGGTGATTGTCCGCGTTTTGGTGGTTGACCTTGCGCGCGTTTGAGCAGGTCTCCAGTACTTTGCGGCAAGACTTTTAACGCTTGATCATGTGCAGGACTTATCCATATCAAGTTTGACAATACGCATTTTGAAATTAGGCTGACTATGAATGTTCCCCTGCACAGGCCGTCTAGCAAGGGAAAACCAACAGATCCTAAGCTCAGGGAGAAAGTGAAGGAGGAGGTCAAGAACGAGACGAATAAGGACGGAGGTGGAAAGGGACAATGGAGCGCATGGAAGGTAAGTCTGCAGCCGCTTATGGTTGAAACACATCGCTTTGTACATAGACTAATACGACATGTAGGCTAGCAAGCTATCTAAAGAGTACGAAAAGAAGGGTGGGGGTTACGAGAACGAAGCTGGAAGCAAGAACGAGCCGAAGAAGGGGGCTCCACAACAGAAGTCTAAAGGCAAGAAGAAGGCCGAAGAAAAGGAAGAGAAACAGGAGGATAAGAAGGAAGAGACAGAGAAACCAAAGGAGGAGGAGCCGTCGAAAGAAGACGACAAAGACGAGGGAAAGAAGGAGGATGACGAGGAGAAGGAGAACAAAGATGGTGAGGAGCAACAGGAAGAAGAAGAGGAGGCTCCTCCAAGTGCGCAGAAGCCCAAGGCCAACACCGGCGCAAAGAAGACGGGTGCCAAAGCTGGTGCTAAGAAAGCAGAGAAATCTGCCGAACCCAAGAAGTCAGCCGCACCGAAGAAGGAAGCAAAGGAGAGGACAGAGGGAACGAGAAAGTCAACAAGGGTTGCTGGGAAGAGGAAGACGTATGACGAAGATGAAGATGACGGTGAGGAAGAGGAGAAGTCAACCAAGGCCAAAGCGAAGAAGAGCAAGGCTTGATTACGCGGCGCGCATCTCCATCGGTGTTGTAGTCACACGCGCAAGTATTCGATAGTTGCTGAGAAAGCATAGCTTTCTCCCACTCACATGACATCGTCTGTGAGTAGCGCGGAGGGCCCAATGGGTATAATAGGTAGTTTAATTTATTTCCGAAATGTCTGTCGTCAATGAGGATTGCCTTTCGGCTCTAGCTTCTCTATGCAGTCTTTTGTCATCGTCCCTACTAAGCTTACTCGCACCTGCCTGACCGGAAACTGCAAGCCCGACGAGATAATCCGCACCGATGACACTAATATCGACCTCACCACACGTTACGCCCTGGCCCCACTGCACAACGTGGCTGCAGATCGCCAAGATCTCACACCGATGATGTTGCTGATGCCGAGCTCGAGATGGTCGGACTCTCCGAACAAGTCACGATGCCTCCTCCGGTACCACATTTTCCGCCGGGCAAGCGCACCCCGATCCTGCAGTTCAAACTTGGGGTCAGCGCTCTTGCCCGTACATTTCAGGCCTATTGTTCTCACCAAAGCTCAAAACCAGCAGTATACAGATTGTCCTGTTGCACCTTTTGGGTCGTCGTCAAGGGTGTGTAGCGGACGTAATCCCGTTCCTGAAATCCGGCTTTCGAGACCACCGTGGCACCACAAGGCGTAGCGGATACTCCCTAGATCCTATTAACCGAGTAGCCTTCTCTTTGATCCAGTCGCACATACCAACATCGCATCGTCAGAGTCTGCTAGTTGTGTACAAAAGCTCACGAGCCTTCGTGCATGGCCCCTTCGCCAATAACAAGGTGCCACTGCTAAAGTGCAGAGACGCATTCTGCCCTCAAGATGTCTATTGTTTCGCCGTCAGCAATCTCCATTTAGATGTATCGCCCATGCATACTTGAGCTTCGTCGGACGCGTGACCGCATCATAGATATTCGCAGCTTCAATACTTTGGTCTCTTTCGAGGTCATGAGCACTCAGCCGCTCATTGAGGTTAGCAAGCATCTCTGGAGGCTGGAACTGATGGGTATATGCAGATTCGGGTTTGAGCTGAATACTGCATACTCCTACAATGCCTCTTCGTCGCAGCGCTACCGACTTGAAAGACTCGCGTATTGCGTCGTAGACATGCTCAGATTCGTGTTCGTCGATAACGTCTTCGGCGACGAGTACCACGCATGCAGGATCTTTCATAGCTTTCTTGTACTGGACAAAGTAAGAAGCTATCGTGTCCAAAGGGAACTTTCGATAATGGATACGCTGAAATTTGAACGTGGGCGACGAAAAGAACGCGGCAGCCGCAACAATTGAAATGCGATCCAAGTCATCTGGTGTGGCTAGGCGTACGCCTTCTACAGATGGGAAAAACATTATTACGCCCCGCTAGCAGTAAAGCAATGTAGTATTCGATTCGAAGATACATGGTGGAATCTAATCTCGCAGCTCGTTTAAAGCAATGCGGCATCGCACCGAAGCATGCTTACTCCGAGGGATGAAAGAAGACTATCCAAGGTTTCTTTGACAACCGTAAGCTGGTTTGCCCTGCCACTACACCCAGTGGTGCATAAAGCAAACTGAGACATTGAAGCCGGGTTAGTAGTCTACTTGAGGTTGGGTACTGGCGATTGGATGGGACAGAACTCCGTAGTTGGATAGATAGGCTTGCTGTCTCGGATGCGATTTTCCTGATCGAAGAACCTCGATACGGATGGACGGGCGGACTTGGTCGACACATTAACGGTAACGACAACAACAAAGGTGCGGCAGCGATTAACAAGCACCCGGATAATCGATAACGAGCTGTTTGGCTGCGGAAGCAAGACGAAAGTTGTGTCTCTGTTCGGTACGCGAGGCAGGTTTGCGGGGAGATGCAGCCCTAACGGAAGCTAAGACATGCATGGCACCGACACAATGAACCAGTGTGGTTCTCGACCTGCCTTTGGTGCCTCCTCGAGCCTTCCTACCATCGAACTCGAAAAGCAACGATCTACCGTGTCGGCTTTGCTTTACGGTCCAGGCCGCCATCGTTCCCTGCTACACGGATCTTGCTCATTGCCTCTAAGCGAATGAGCGACACGCACCCTCGCGACACGTCCTCTGAAGTTGTACGCAGTCAGCCGCAGCCCTCCATGTCTACCACCAGTTCGCAGTACAGGAATGCCACCCAAACTCCTTCGCACTACCAGGACTTCCCCACAAGCAATCACGACCCTTTGTATGGCTTAGGATCATGGCAGCAACATCATAACGCTCCCAGCCACGACTCGTACGCTGCCGGCCCGTCAACGGCGCAATTCCTACATTACCCTCCGGTCGGAGTCGACTCCGCTGGTTCACATCCACAGTCTGCGCCAACTGCTTGGGCTGGTTACGTCAGACAAGCACCTCTGGAATGGCAGCATGCTGGACCAGAGCAGAATTACACGGCGCGCTCAACTGTCCCCTATTGCGATGCGGAGGGGACCGCGTCCGTGCCGCATCAACTTCCCACTGTTTCGCGGCACTATCAGCAGCAGCAACAACAACATCAGTATCAGCACCAGCCAGCGCTAAGTTTAGGGCACACATTACCCCTGACCTCGCAGGACCATGCGTTTCGAAGTACGGAACGCTTTCACGAGCTGCGCATTTCGTCAGTAAGTGCACACAAGCAATGTTGTGCCCTGCACTAGGTTCGCGACTAAGTCTTCCAGGAGTCCCCCGCCAATACGGTAGACCCACCATACTCGAATCATGCTCAGAAGCTACCTCCAGTCCCACAACTATCGCATTCACAACCACAGGCTGTTCTGTTGCACACAAACAACGCCCCACAGGTTCCATTGCACCATGATGTCTCCTGGGAAGCGCACCAGCAGTATTCGGGTCATGCTGGCGATGTCGTCAATACCAGAGCTTCAGATACGAGACATCATAGTTCATCTACCATTCCCTGGCCCATAGTCGACCCCGTGGAAGCTTCCAATGTGCCCACTGTTTACGAAGCGCCTCAGAACATGCGTCGAGAATGGAACGTCGCCGAAGCACCACCTGAACAGGAACTCTACTCCCAGCACCAGGTTCCAGTCGAGCATGTGGATCGAGCAACGCAACTGCTTGCTCAGCATAGGCCAACACCAAAGAAGAAAGCAGCTAAGGTTCCTTCATCTTTCGTTGAGCGACAGGAGAAGCTGAAGGTGTCCAAGCGAAAAGGCCCTCTCCAGGAAAGGCAAAGGGAGAAGACCCATACTATGCGCAAGACCAAGCGTATATGCGTTCGTTGTAGATTTTACAAATCTGGAGTATGCATATTCTTTATTGGGACAGACACAAGACTGACAGACGTAGTGTGACGAAGGAGACCCGTGTGAAAAGTGTGAGAAGATCACAGGGCATGCAAGGTCGTTTCGCGAGCCGTGTTACAGAGAACACCTCGAAGATACAAGTCTTATACGTCGGTGTAAGTCATTGCAGTGCTTCTTGCTCGAAGCATTCTCACTGTTAAACAGGCAACGGACGTGAGCACCAAGAGGAAGCCGAATTCCTCGGTTACGACTGGATACACAACAGTCAACTATACGAAATGGAGATCATCTGGAACCTCCCTGGCTACGGTCCTATACCCAATGCACAGCCTCTGCGTATCGCCTTTCGACCGTACAGCCCGACACGCGGTTCACTCGATGTAGCGACATCTGTCTGGTCCAACAGAGATGGACAAGTACCATCTGTCGAGCAGCCGGCATACGCCATTTACGACACCGCGAATCTCGTACTGGCTTATGAACGCTACTTCTCTAGCCTCCAACCTGCAATTGAAGAGTGGGTTTTTGCTCGCATTCGGCAGGACGAAGTCGCCTACCATACCTATCAGGAAGTGGTACGCATGCGGAGGGTAACTGGAAGTAAAGCCCTTGACCTCGCAATGCGACTTCAGTGTCTCTCGGTTGTCTCGCAGGGGTATGGTTCAGTATTCTCGGAAAACATACCTGGTATACGCGAGTACGATTATCGCAGACTTGGCCGTAGCGACTACGAAGCATACGACCGAAACTCCTGCGATCGCCCACTCCCAGGCGCCATAACCCACCAGATGGACGTCGCGGCTGTAAAATATCTTCGCAAATTGGAAAAGCTTTTCGTCAAGGAGCTAGCGACACTGATTTTCAAGCCTAGAATCAAGCCTTGGTACGAGCTTTTCCTGGCATTCTATGTCATTTTCTGGAACCTTGAGTATATCCACCATGGTGCGCAAGACTACATCAAGTCGAAAAATGGCACAGTAAGTCTGGCGAGCTTGTTATACAGATTTAGCTTTGTCTGACTCCACTAGTTGATCGAGAACCAGGTCAGCAACGTAGTGACCACTCAGATCAAGAAGTGGGAATTCGCTTTCCCGGTCCTGCTGTATCACTGGCGTTGCATTCTCCGCGGCTACTCGCCTTTCAAGCTAGCACGCGACAATCCGGAGGAACTCCGGGAGCGAGGTCATATTGATGCAGAAGGCTTCGCATATGTCACACTCATTGCGAATCTATTTGACCGAAATAAGCCCGGTAAGTTGGGACTGTAGATCCGCTACTGCAAGTCATTTGTTAACCAGCATAGATCGCTTCCAGCCGCCGCTTACCGGGTTTGCCGCAACGCACTGGTCCACTTCAAGTGAATGGATTGTAAAGCTTTTCAAGGAAGCTGGAGCGTAACGTTCCGCCCGTGTCATGTCGTTCCACCATGTTTTTTGATACCCAGTCATGAGAAATGGCTATCGCGAGTCATTTTCTAGCTTCCAATATACGAGTTGCAATTTATGGGGAGAGGCGTGGAACAAATCTGATGAATATCTGAGTATGTCTACCGTCGGTCTAATTAACAAAGAGGTCCTGGAAAGAGAGACCATGGATACAATAAAGCCACACCAATCCTCGCCTTGCAGTCGCAAGATGCATGCCAAATTGACTATGTCGTTCCAACTGCCACTAAGCCTGTTGGGATGTTTCGGGTAAAATTGCTTGCTAGAGTTAGCGGTTACAGCAGTATCTAGCCATGGCTTTCGCGGCCGCTGATGCTGCGCCATGGGTCCGTGTCGAAGACAGGGAGGCTCTGAGGTCTGCCGGGAGTGAACGGGTCGTCAAAGTTGTCACGGCAGCTAGCCGGCTTCTCCCAAGCATTTGTGGAGTCGCGGAGGAACATGCGCAAAAGGTGCCGGGTACTAGCCTGGCCATCAATGCCACGGTACTCTGCACGGGCATGCAAGACAGACAGGTTATGGAGGAATTGGATGTCGCCCTGCTTCCGGTCGACTTTAGTGCAGAAGCGCCTAGCTAGCTCTTCAACGGCGTGCATTGCATGCAGCTGCTTCCGGGTAACCTTTGGCATGCTAGGGTCACGCGGGATGGTATCAGTACCAAGAAGTGGAGCCTTGACTAGCTGGCACATGGGTTTGCCCTTGGAGAAAAAGAGGGTAGGTCCTAATTCGAGGTAAGGCGCTCCATCCCTGAAGTAAATTAGCAAACTCTCTTAACATCAGATACGACAAAACCATGCTTACTTTTGCTTTAGCTCGAAAGGCCAATTTGGCTCCGCCATCGTCTCCAAAACTTCTGGGTCCTTCTCAAGAAGCTCATTGTAAATCCTGGAAAAGCTCACGACGAATTGCTCGCCACCAGCATTGGGACCGCCGTCGTTGCGCACATACAGGGCGATGACATCGCCAGAGAAGCGGTCACTGTGAAAATCCATGGCAGCAGTGATCTTGGAGCCTGCAAGACCAATATTCTTGCAGTCTTCTGGAACTGTTTTTTTGGTGGCATCGAGAACATGACTCAGCGTTTGGTTTGCATAAGAATCGGTTGCTCGTTCTGGGCAGACGTATGAGCATACGCCCGCAAAAGCAATAACGGCCTCTTCGTCATTGAGGTAAGCACTATCCAGACCCCGGAGGACAACAACGTTTTTACCGTGGTGAAGCTCTTTGCTGATAGACGAGAGCTTGCTAGCCAGTTCTGGGTTGCCGAGATCAAAACTTTTCTGGTTTATCTTCGTCCGCGGAAGCCGGGAGACTGGAGGCGTAAATCAGCATTCGTTCATAATGATTAATAGGTAGTGCTCACGCTTGAACTTGATTATAGCGGCTCTGATATCCCGGATTTCGCGGTCGTTAAGCTGGACTACATACTCGACTGGGTTCAGCTCGTCCCCTTGCCATACCATGGGTCCTGTCACTGCCGGGGCAAGTTTATCAGGAGAACTGAATATGGACGAAGAGTTGCTGTGCAAACTCTCGAAAGAGGACCTCGCGCTGAGTGTGGGAGACGACATATTTGACTGGTCGATTACTGTGAATGATGTAGAGGGAGGTTCAGATGGGATGTTCTAATGTTCGTATCGGTCCG